CATAGGGAGAAGCCACCTCCTCCTTGAAGACTGTGGCCACTGTCAAATCTGAGACAAGGTCTCCAAGACCAGACAATAGACATTTTCCTCCAGGTACAAACTAAAAGGGTGGGCTCGCTGCAGGAACCCCCAGAGCAGGAAAAGAGTGGCTCACTTCTTGGAAAAGCTCCACATGACCAACATTTTACCAGAGTCCAGCCAAGGCAAGCACTTGTCCCCAGAGCGAGAATTTGGCAGCAGATCCATTTGCTCTGCAAACATCTGGTGCCGGCTCTGAGCTGAGGTTGGGGTGCTGAGCTCTTTTCTGCTGGGGAGGCCCTCTTGCTCACTACCCTGCTCACTTTCTTGGAGCTGAAGCCTCACCCCCTGCCCCCCGTCACCTGCCCGTTGACAGCCAGATGGAGAGCTGTTGATTCCCCCAGGGAACAAAGCCTATTTGTGGAGGACCTATCTTTTCTTTTTGACAAGCGAGGGAAAAGGAGGAATGAACTCTGACGTCATGGGCTGCGTAGGACAGTGGAGTTGGAGGCCATCTGGAGCAGGTGCTGGCAGGGCCCCTGGGAAAGGGAAGAAGGGCAGCTGGCTCATCAGATGGGGGTGTCCTGGGGTCAAAGACTGGTGGCACAATGAGGTTAAGGTTTCCTGGAATCTCTGGCCCGTGAAGGATGAATGACACTTCCTTGGCCTCCACCTCCTCCAGTACTCCAGTCCAGCCCCATGGGCTCAGGACTCCTGGAGAAAGGTACCAAGCTCAAGGAGACCTGGCCATGCCCTGGCCTCTGTGTCCTCTGAAGGGCAGCACCACTAAACAGTCCTAGGGAGTCTCAGGGGCTGCGGGGGTCCTATCGCCAGAAGTACGAGTGTGCATGCAGTGACATTCAGATCTCTCTTCCACCCCAGCTGCCTCCTGCTGCGTTTGTCCAGGGAGAGATTGGAAACCTCTTATCAGGCCCTGGATTCACTCTGCCCTGTCTAGAAAGCAAGGATGATGTTTTTCTAATTACAGGTGGTGAAACTGAGGGCCCCACGCAGTGACAGGACTTGGCCAGGGTCCCGCAGCAATTTCCCCACCTGGCCTCAAGACCGGCTCACTGCCTGTTTAGTGTCCTCTCTGAGAAGTTATGCAGCTGGAAGGGGGCCCTGGGATGAAATAATTGCAGAGAAACAGATGGGCCACTCTGTAACCCTCCCCTCCTGTATGCCTGAGAACCTGCCTCTGCAGCCCTGGGGCCAGGAGAGGGCGCTGCTTCGCAGGGCTCATATTCCTCCCTCCTGGGACCTGGGCTGGACAGTCCCGTCTTAGCTGCTCCTTCCCCAGCTTCCCAGAAGCCCTTCCACACACCTTTCTCCCACCAGGCATCCTGACCAGGGCCCACTCCCATCTTCCATCGCGTCCTGATTCCGGCCAGACGTTGCCTGTCCCAAGGAAGGGCCCCTCTCCAGTAGGTGTGAGAGTCTCACCTTGCCCTTCTGGGAGGAAAGAAAGCCTGAAGAGGGGCCCACAGAATGGGGTCCCGCCCTTCAGAGGGCAAGAAGGGAGTAAACAGTCCCACCCAAGCAACTCTCCGACGCTGAAGGCTCTGCATACCCCCAACCTACTGTGGCAGAGCCGATACCCTGGACTCACCCAGACAGCTCTCTGACACTGAAGGCTGGCTCTGCCTTCCACTTCCTGCTCCCTCCCACTCCCCCCACACCTAGCTGACCCCCTTCCCTTTGCCTCATCTTCAGGCACCCCCAATGAACTCATTTGCCCTTCCCACCTCCAAGAGCTCAGCAGTGTTCCCTCTCTCTGTCACACACTCTGCCTCCAGAACACCACCGAACTCAGAACTGCCTCTCCCCAGCCTGCCTCCTCTGGGCTCCCCTGCCTGAATCCCTCCACCCTCCCTAGGTCTGGGCACGTGGGGTTCTGCAGTCTCACAGGTCTCCTCTGCCCTCTGCGTTGCCCTTTGTGAGGTCTCGCATTTGGTTTTTCTCGAATAGCACCCCCCAGGCCTGACTCTAGCACATTCCACTGTTAGCCTGGTTTTCTTTTCTTTTCTTTCTCTCTCTCTCTCTCTCTTTTTTTTTTTTTGAGGAGTCTTGCTCTGTCATCCAGGCTAAAGTGCAGTGGTGCAATCTTGGCTCACTGCAACCTCTGCCTCCCAGGTTCACGCGATTCTCTTGCCTAAACCTCCCGAGTAGCTGGGACTACAGGCGCCTACCACCATGCCCAGCTAATTTTTGTATTTTTGGTAGAGACAGGGTTTCACTGTGTTACCCAGGATGGTCTCGATCTCTTGACCTCATGATCTGCCCACCTTGCCCTCCCAAAGTGCTGGGAAGCCTGGTTTTCTGTCAAGGGTTTCCTCTTCTCGTCCTTTCTCTTCCTGTGTTTCCAGGCTCAGCACAGACTTTTCCTTCTCCAGGAAGCCCACCCTGCTAGTCCGGGATGGAGGAGGAGCCTTCCTTGGGTGGCCTCAGCCTGAGCTGTCCCCTTCCCTGGTATTGTCCTTTTCAGCCTACGAAGCTCATGTCTGTCTCCAGTGGGTTCTTCCTGGCTGGGATGGAACCCTGCAGGCTTCAGGGATGCTCAGTAGATACTGGGGGGGAATCAGCGAGATCAGTGAAAATGACAGGATTTCTTACAGAATGACTGGGTCCTTGGGGCCTTTAAATTTCCTCTTTTGCCGTTAGGAGGAAATTTAAAATTCAGCAGTCAATAACATGACTTGAATAGCTCATATTCAGCTGCTCAGTCAGTTCAACTTTCCCAGCCCATGCCCCTGGGGCTTGGGGCAGAAGAAGCGGACTTCATAAGGGAAAAGAAGCAAGAAGGGGCTTGAGTCCCAAATGGAGGCCCAGGAGGAAGACAGGGCCTCCCCTGCAGCTCCCCAGGCAAGGAAAGCAAAAAGAGAGGGGAAATCTTTGTTTTCAAGGCAGATCTGTGCTAATGACACACCTCCACAGTCCCTCTAGCCCAGGCCTCTGACTCCCTCCCACCTCCCAGGCCCCAGCTAAGTAGAAGCTGCTCCACAGCCTGCCCTGGGGAAGCCTCCTTCTGCAGATGACCACCGCCCAGTGGCCAGGAGTGGCAGCTCACCAGATTTCCCTTCCAAAGAAGGGAACAGGCATTCAGGGTATTGGCTCTGCCACAGTAGTTGGGGGTGTCAGTTTTATTAATTTAGCTTCAAAGCTGAAACAGAGAGGAGAGCCAGATAGTCACTGGGCAATCACCTGGATGCAAATGTGTCCAGGAACACCAAAGACAGGAAAGACCGGTCTACGGACGTTCAGGTAGAAGGAAGTAGCCAAAACAGCGGAAGCTTCCGACCTGCCCTTAATAAGGGGCTTTAGAGGATGTACCACCCGCCCCTGGAAACCAGCCCAGAGCTTGACTCTAGAATCAATCTCTGTGGCTGTCCCTGGCTCTTTAAACAGGTATGAAGAAAGCACGTGTCAGAGAAGTTCCAAATGGTAACATCCTTCTTTGTATAGCAGGCAAAAAGCAGAGGGAACTTTCACAGCCCACCTGGATTCCCTCCCTATTCTGCCTTCTAGTTCCTCTTCCTTTCTCCTCAAATGAAAGAGTGGTGCCACTCTATGGGTGTTAATGTGGAGAGGAATTGGGGGGCTGCGTGGAGGTGGTGAGTCAACTCCAGAACCCACAAAAGGTACCCTGTTGATGTCTGGATCTTCCTGGAGACCAGGAAATTTTGCTGCCCCAAACTCAGACCTCAGGTGTAGGCTGTTTCCTGCACAAAGGGACCTGTGGAGTGGTTGGTCCAGCATTGTGACTCAGGGTATAAGAGGGAAGGGGTAGCTTGAGAAAGGGGCCAACAGATCAGACAATGATGCTGCTGCCTCTGCAGCTCTGGGACCAGGCTTACTGCCACTGAAGGTAGAGGAGCCTAGGGGGAAACCTGGTTCTCGAAGCCCCTCTTCACTCCAGCTGCCTTCCTGCCTCAGGCACAGCCTCCTCTTCCTGGAAAAGCTCATCTGGGCTTGGAATGGTCTCGACGCTTGGGGGCAGCCACTGCACTCCTGCCGAAACATTTGTTCTCATCTGTCCAGCCTGAGTCCTGCTCAGCAGCAGCCAGTCATAGATTCTTGCACCTCACTCAATTTGGGGGATCTGGGCTGTCCGCCTCTGCGGCTCACACCTCAGTACCCATGTGCCCACCACACTCCTTAGTGCTCAAGGGACCAAGAAGCCCAGCGCAAGGCTTGCAAGCTCATGACCGGCAGGGATATGTGGCCGTGTCCCGAGAGCCACGAGGACCTTTCTACAGCTAAAAATGGGAATTTGACCACCTGTCATGGCCAGAAGAGGCCAGACTGGGCCGCTGGCTGGCTAGGAAGCTCCTTCCCCAGCCTGGGAAGGTGCACAGGATACTGGAGCGGGTTTCCCTCAGCAGCGGATCTTCGCGTGGGTGCAGGCAGGGTCAGGCGCTCATTGTTCCCACAGACGGAATTCACCAGCGGAGTCAGACCCAGGGACGTTCTTGTGTAGGCGACACCGGCTGAGCGTGAACCTAGAGCCTTAACTGGCGAGCATAGGATGCCGCCAAGCACACGCATGAACATCGACGTCTTGGGCCGCCCGCGCTTGCAGTCCCCTCGTTGTCGCCTCGCGCTCAAATACTCAGGCTGGCTGCAAGCTTGTACTCTCCGATGTGGAAGACTTGCGCTCCCCATTGCGGCCCAGGCGAACCCCGCTCTCCCTGCGCCTCCCACCCCAGTCCTCCAACCCCATCCTCTGCTTCCCCAACCTAGCGAGGCCGCCTGTGGTCTGCCCTCCTGCCCTGGCAAGCAGGTGACAGGCAGAGCTGCTATGCCATCCCGCGCCTGTCAGACGACAAGCAGGGCTGCGTGGATTTCGGGCAGCACCAACTTTCTGCCTGTATGACTTCGGGCAAGTGACTTCATTCCTCTGAGCCTATCTTTGCACCTGCAAAGAGGGCTACAGATCCCTTCCAGGTAGGGCGAGTGTGGTGAAGACCCAGCGCTTTCACAGGGCACCAGGCGCACCGATGCTCGGCAGGCCAGGTCGCGCGTTCGCTGCAAATGGAGTTCCCCAGGGCGCGCTGCTTTGCAGCTCCAAGTGCAGTACGGAGCGAGCCCGCCGAGCCGCGGGATCCCTCCGGGGTGGGTTGAGGGAGGGGAGCCCCCCCCCGCGGCCCCCTCCTGGCCCTTGGCGCTGCCGCGTGCGTGGTGCCATTGGCCCGGGCTGCCCGGTGGGCGGGAGGATGACATCAGCGGCAGGTTGGATTATAAAGGCGCGAGCGGAGTCACGGGCCCAGAGCGCACCCAGCCGGCGCCGCGCAGCACTGGGACCCTGCTCACCCTGCAGCCCCGCCAGCCTGCTCCGCACCTGCCTGCCGGTCTGCCCGCCGACTCGCGCGCCCTCGCTGCCGCCTGTCTGCGCCCCTCGACCCCAGCGGCACCATGCACCTCTCCCAGCTGCTGGCCTGCGCCCTGCTGCTCACGCTGCTCTCACTCCGGCCCTCCGAAGCCAAGCCCGGGGCGCAGCAGAAGGTGGGTGCTGTCTTGGGGACACCGAGCCTGGGAGAGGCTTGGGAGGCTGGGGGGTTGGAGAATGCGGCGCGCAGGACCCAGCAGAGAGGAAAGGAAAGCGGCCCTCTCCTCCGAGATGCGCGCGGGCGAGAGCCGGGGAGCCCTCGAAGCGCCTACTCGGGGGTCCCTATCCCCAGCCTCGGGAGAACGTCGGCCCACGCGCAGCCCCCTGTCCCAGTGTGGCCTGCCGGTCGAGCGGCGAAGGAGGGGAGGGCAGGGGGCTTCCGGAGTGAGCGGCGGCGGCGGCCGCGTGGCAGGTGGATGAGGGGCCAAGGGGGCCGGAATCCGTAGCGGCGGCTCCGGGCTCGGGAGGGACACCCGGCGCCGGCGGGCACGTTGGGCTGGAGAGTCAGAGTCTCTCGTGCTGCAGCCGCGCGTCCCTTCACCTACCCGCTCTTTCCTCGGACAGGTCCCGCGAACCCCGCCGGGAGAGGAGCTGGCGGACCCCCAGGCTGCGGGCGGCTGTCAGAAGAAGGGCGACAAGGCTCCCGGGGGCGGGGGCGCCAACCTCAAGGGCGATCGGTCGCGACTGCTCCGGGACCTGCGCGCGGACACCAAGTCGCGGGCCGCGTGGGGCCGCCATGTGCAGGAGCACCCCAACGCGCGCAAACACAAAGCATCCAACAAGAAGAACTTGTCCAAGGGCTGCTTCGGCCTCAAGCTGGACCGAATCGGCTCCATGAGCGGCCTGGGATGTTAGTGTGGCGCCCCCTGGCGGCGGTGAGTACTGCCGACCCCGCGCCCACCCCCAGCCCGGCCCCGCCGCCCGCCGCCCAGCCGGCCTTCAGAGGGGAGAGTGCGAGCCCGCTATGCTCAAGCTGTGCTAGCCGTTTGCCGGCCGCCCCCTTATTATCCCACTTACAGACAAAGAAAGCGAAGGATAAAGTGATCGGGGAACTTTGGCAAGATCAGAAATGGCTCAGCCTGGTTGAACCCACCTGGCTTCTTTTGGAGAAACAGAAACAAGCTTGGTGGGGTCTTACCCACCCCTCAACCGTAGCTGAACTAGCAGCATTGGCCCCGATTTGCCAGCTGGTGGGGGGATTGAGGGGAGATCATGGGTTTGTGGGAGCAGAGAAGGAAAGGTACACCCAGAAGTCCAGGGGACATTCATCATCTGCCGGCCACCATGCCCCCTGTAGGGAGAATAGCCCTCTGGCACTGTCGGGACCCTCTTCTGCCTGGGGCACTCCAGTTCCTGTCCCTTCTCTAGACCCAGGCAGTGGGCAAACTGGTCTGTCCAGGGTCCTGAGGCAGCTGCAGCCTGGTGGTTTCAGGGTGAACCTCAGTGCTTGTGGCTATTTCAGGGAAAAGGAAAGACACAAAGTAACTCAACCTCAAACTCAACATGTCCCAGAGTCCCTCACCAACCCTCTCCCCCACCCAACCGGTGCCCCAGGCTCTGTTTCTGGTGTGGGGTCTCACATGGCGCTAGGGTGGGAAACCTCTGCCCTACCATCACACTCTGCCAGGTGCCACAAGGTGGTAATTTCCAGCCGCAGAGGGCCTCACCTCTCCTTCCCTCTGCTCTATTCCTGCCACCTGACAGTGCCCACTGAGTAACAGCACCCAGTCTCTGACATCGACAATCATGTGCGTTAGGATCAGGCTCCCAAGGCTTTCTGGCTTTCTTGCCTCCAGCTCAGCAGCTGCCACTGCCTGTCCCACACCTTGACTGTCCCACCCCAGGCCATGGGCAGGCTGCTGTCTCCACCCCAGAAACCCTCGTCAGCATCCGATCTTCACCCAGAAGGAAACGAGAGCGCCTCTCCAGCACACTGTAAAAAAATAGTTTTTACAGTACAGAACATGTTTGCACAGTGTGTGAACCCATTCACCTCCCCGTATTGAACAGCTTAAGGCACTCCAGGACCCACTGCACCCCTAACAGACTCTTAGAAATATTTGTCAATCACCAGAGAAACCGGCACTCCCACCTACCCTAGGTTTTAACCAGCGCACTTCCTCTCTTTGCAGCCAGACCTCACTGGGCTGTGGGCTTCTCCCCAATTCTGCAGAGGCTTCAGTTGTCTGTGACCTTGACTGTCCCTTGCACAGGGAGATAAATGATTCTGACACTTGGGAACCAGACTTCAGTAGCTACCCTTGGAATGCCTTTGCTCTCTTTTCTCCTGTCTAAACAAGAAAGAGATAATCTGAGGCCTCAAATTTTCAATTTGACTTGTGTCAAGTTCAAACTTTCGAATCTGAACAAATGGTAGTGAACCTTTCATGGGTTCATGCCTGGAATTCACATCCCCATAGGGCCTTGTTCTTGGGCCTGGCTGTCTGCAGTCACCAAGTGATGGCCAAAAGGGTGGAGAAAGATGCTATGTAGGAGGAATCCACATTGCTAAGAATTCTCGACCCCTTTGATGGGGAGTAGGTTTCATTAATCTCCTACAAGCTCCCTTAGCCTGGATGAACACTTACCCTCAACCCCTCAACCCCAGCTTACCCCCAACACCAGCTGTTTTATTATTTGGAAGGGGGGTGTGGTTTTATTATTTTGTTTTTTTTTTTTTAATGAAAAATAAAAACCTCAACCTCACTGCCCCCCATTCCCAGTGAGAGAGCAGAAATCCTTCCTGCAGGTTCCTGGTGGTGATGCCCAGGGTGTATCACTGGGCTTAAAGGAAAAGACAGCTTCGATTTTTCACGTTAAGGAAAACTCAGTGAGGTTTTGGCCGTAACTCCATGCATGCGTTGACTTGGGCTCTGAGCACCACCATAATGATGGTCGCAGATGGTTCTAGGTGTTGATTGTATAACGCTAATGACAGAGACAGGGGTGTCTGTAACCTGAATGAACACTTTGGCCCTGGGGCCCAGCGACATCACAGAGAGCTGTCATCTGTGTAAACACCTGGCAGAGCCAGAGACGGGAGTGGGGGAGACTTCAAGCCATTCTGGCCCAGGTTCATTCAGGGCATGCTCTCCTTTGGGAGGGCACTGAACGTCCTAGAAGGCCACCTTCCTTGGTCCCCGGGGCACCCATATACCCATTAGCAGGGACTTCACCCTGACAATCCTCAACCCAGAGCCCATGACTGTGCATCCCCCAGGGCTGGTGTGAGACACCATTTCCTCTGCCTCTCAAGGGGACCTGAATCCCTTCCTCTGCGCAAACAGCTGGGGAAGGAGGTGCTGTTTGCCGGGTGGCACCTGAGACACAGACTCTGCCGATGCCCAATCCGAGACTCCCTGTTGAATCCAAAAGCCAGCCACAGGGAGGTGGCTATTATCCTGTTTTATGGGTGAACACTCCAAGCCATCCAGGGTCATCTAGGGAGTCAATGTCAGGGTAGAGATGTGAGCCCAGGCTTCCTGACTCCTGAGATGTCTCCTTTCTCCTTCCATCCACAGTCACCCATACACACAAAGCCCAGGCAAGCACTGACTGAGGGTTTATGTCATAGCAAAAAAGGGATGGGAGATTTTCCATTCTCTCTGTGCCTCCCTGAGGGCCAAGGGCAAGGCCTGTGGTTAGGCTGAGGGGGAAGGAGGGCTGCGGACACTCTGTTTCCACCTGGGCTGGGATGGCAAAGCCAAGGGGGCTGGGGAGTGCGCAGAGGGAGCCCCCCTCCGCAGGAAGGCCTGGTCAGGACAGGAGAGGGGCAGGGGCATCCCTCAAGCTGCTGTGGGAAGGGGAGGAAAGGGTCTAGAACCACCCAGCCCGCTGGGATTTCTCAGCTAAGAGGCCAGAACTGAGCATGCATGTCCATTCTGTGTTTCAGGATTGGAAACTGGCTCCGTTGTGCTGAGGTCACCTTTGGTCATCAGCCTCCAGCATCTGGAAACACCTCCAACGCAATGTGGCTTTTACATTTCTTTCTTTCTTTCTTTTTTTCCTGGTACTGGGAATACATGACACCAGCTGTTTTATTATTATTTGGGGAGGGGGTTGTGATTTTATTGTTTTTTTAAAATGAAAAATAAAAAGTTATATATTATATATATATTATATACATGAAACACACACACCTACACCGACTCGATGACGAGGGACAGTTTTTAAGAGACTGACAGAACCAGCTGTAAAACATTGCTGTTTGTAAATTCATGTCATGCCTAAATGTATTTATGTTGTAAAGCTATTTATAATGTTTATAAAGAGATATTTATAAAAGTTTTATTTATGTAACTAAATGAAAGAAGTCAATCATTGTAATGCTTTTGTCCTAACTAGTTGAAAAAATGTAAAAAAAAATGTCATTCCATGAATATCTTGAAAACCATCTTCATTTACTTGTCTTTATTTTTTCGGACTTAGGCTGAGGCAGAGGGAGAATGTGGAGAAAAGGCATTTGCTTCCAAATAGATCTGACAGCCAGATTCCCAGTTCCGGATTTATCTGTGTCAGGATGCCCTGGAGGGCTTGTAAAATACGGATTCCTGCCTCCACCACCCTCTTATCTACCGAATCTTATAGGACTGGCTGTACAAGTTTTGTCCCAAGTGATTGTTGACCAGCTCAGCCAGGTCAGGAAGCTCTGCTCAAACATCTGACTGCTACAAAGTCAGACATTATGAATTAAATTAATAATGGCCAGGCACGGTGGCTCACACCTGTCATCCCAGCACTTTGGGAGGCCAAGGTGGGTGGGTCACCTGAGGACAAGAGTTCGAGACCAACCTGGCCAATATGGTAAAATCCCAACTCTACTAAAAATAGAAAAATTAGCTGGGTGAGGTGGTGGGCACCTGTAATCCCAGCTACTCAGGAGGCTGAGGCAGAATTGCTTGAACTCAGGAGAGGGAGGTTGCAGTGAGCGGGGATCACAGACTGCACCCTAACCTGGGCAACAGAGCAAGACTCCATCTCAAAAAATAAAATTAACATTGAACTCAGCTGACTTAGGGTCCTGTAACTTCTGCTCCATCTTCTGCTATTAGTGGAGGAAGTAGCTGCTAAACCTCTGTTTTGGGAGATTTAGAAGGCTTCTGCATATCTTGCAGAATCGATCACGTCACCTTACAAATCCCAGCAACTCTGTTTTCTAGACTAGCTCACAAAGCCCAGGGTGGGTAGTTTCTGCCTCGTAATGACTGCCATGGTCAGCTGCGAGCCAAGACCTCGAAGAGGAGAAGGTATTGTCAAGTTTCGTATCTGTAGTGTGCTGTGCTTTGTGGGAGGGTTGCGGGTTTTCTTTTCACTTGAAGCCACTGACAATTACATTTCCTATGCCCCATGGAGCTATGAGTGTGGAATAATGAATATAATTTAGAATTTATGAATATAATTTAGATGAGAATCTCTTTTCCTAAAACCAGCAGGAAACTTTGAAATAATTCCAAGGTGTTCTCACTACATGCTCGGTTGGATGACAGCCCTGTGCAGCCTTCCCTGTCATCCGTCGCCTGATAGGGGAAGGTGGGGACATGCCCTCTTGGGCTGATAACACCAGTGGATTGGCAGCGCCCTGCTCAGGGGATTTGGGAGCAGTGTGGCCCTGTGCTCATGGATCTGCAGGCCTGGAGGAAGAGTTCCAGAGAAAAACCTGTCACTGGGGAGGTAGCCAGTGGCACCTGGTCTTTCTGTGGGTGTTTGAGCCCCAGGACCTTTGCCCCAGGTAGCCCTCCAGCAGCAACCTCTCAGGTGGCTGGGCAGCCAACACAGTGACATTGCCCAGGTGAGAAATCCTCTTTTAGACATGTTCCTGGCTGGGCATGGTGGCCACACCTGTAATCCCAACAGTTTGGGAAGCCAAGGCGGGCAGATCACTTGAGCCCAGGAGTTCAAGACCAGCTCCAGCAACTTAGCGAGACCATCTTTACAAAAAATAACAAATTAGCTGGGTATGGTGGTGCCCACCTGTAGTCTCAGCTGCTCAGGGGGACGCTGAGATAGGAGGACTGCTTGTCCAGAGATCAAGGCTGCAGTGAGCTGTGATCACCCCACTACACTCCAACCTAGGCAACAGAGTGAGACTGACACGCACAAACACACACACACACAGAGAAAGAGAGAGAGAGAGAGAATGCATGTTCCAGCTTCTCCAACTTCCCTCACAAGTTCATTTCCTCTCAACTGCCACAGGTGCCCCAGCAGACACTTCATCCCCCTTCTTTGGGGGCCCCTGTGGAAGCCACCCAGGGCACGGCTCCCTTCCTCTGCCTCACTCCCATCTCCGAGGTTGGAAGATCAGGGGTCCACATCATGGACGCTGACAGATCCAGCACCCCAGCCTCGCCAGTGAGTGTCCCAGCTCCCTGTGCTGTCTGCAGACCCCTTACAGGGAGGGAGCAGTGGGTGACACTGCCAGCTGTGCTGGTGCGTCTTCCCAAGGCCCAGAGGCAGAACAGATGGCAAACCATCTAGGGAACCATCATGAGAAGCTAAAGGGTTTTCCCTGCGGACAGTGCCCGGGCTGCCAGGATTCTGGGCTGATGCGGCCGCTCAGGCCCAAGCCACACACACTGTCCTCCTAAGTGCTCTTGTCCTGCATCTTTGCCTGCAAACAACACACACAGCCCTCTGCTGCCAACTTTGGCCCTTGCCAGGCAGAGGCCAGCCCCTCCGCTGTTGCTTTAGGATGCAGTCATACAGCCAGTCCTCCCCTTTTATACCCAGACCCGAGGTCCTGAAACTACCACCTCAGCAGCGACTGAAATATTGTTGCAGCCAGGGGTTTCTGCGGGAAAGCCCAGAGGGTTGACAGATGTTTGATAAGTAACCTGAAGTGTATTGACACCCCGGAGATGGCCCAGGTGCTGGGACCTGAGAGCTTCCAGCCTTGGGCCTCTGTCCTGGCCTCCTTCCTCTCAGGGAGCCTCTCATCTCCAAGCTGCCTGGAGTGCCTGTGACTTCACTCCCACCTGAGGTGACAACAGGCAGGGACAGCTCGGAGAAACAGCGCCCAGACGGGGCTGGCTGGAGTCCCGGTCCTCTCAAATCGGGCACCTCTGCAGGGCAGGAAGACATGGTGATCACCTCTCAGCCTTCCTGCTACCATCAATTGTAGAAGAGTCCCCGGGAAACACTGCGGTGCTAGGCAGGCCAGAGTGCAGCAGAGGCAAAGAGTGTGTCAGCCCGAGGGCCTCATTTCCTTTCCAGCAGCACAGCCATTGGGGAAGTCAGGGGCCCACAAGGAAGAGTTGCCCGCCTGCCTGGTCCCTGGTGCTGTAGCTGTTGACATGTGGAAACCCTGGTCCCGTAGTGCTAGGCCCGGAAAGCCCACCTTGGGCCCCCACACATGCCTGGAGGACAGGCCTGGTCTGTCAAGCCTATCTGAGGACATCATGCTGAGAGGCAGCACTGTGGGGCAGAGGTGGCACACCCGCCATGCAGGTGGTGTGGCCCCGGTGAGGTGGGACAGTTCCACCAGGCCTACAGCAAGTGGTCTGGGAGCCTGCCTTCCCCGCTGAACAAGCAAAGGGTCCTCCCCTGGCAGTCACAACCCCACAAGGGTGGTGGAAGACAGGGCTCTGCACAGGTGGGGCGCCCTGGGGTGATCAGAGAGGCCTCAATATCCAGACCCTGTTAGTGCCTCAGAAAGAGCTGTTAGTCCAGTCAGGAGAGTGGGGGCAGGGCTAAGCAGCCCACCTTGGTTGTGGGGGTAAGTGGGGAGGAAGCATCAGTGGCGGGCGCATCAGAAATGGGATTTGAGGCTGGGTGTAGGGCTCATGCCTGTAATCACAGCGCTTTGGGAGGCCGAGATGGGTGGATTGCTTGAGGCCAGGAGTTCAAGACCAGCCTGGGCAATAGGGCAAAACCCCGTCTCCACAAAAACCACAAAAATGAGTTGGACGTCGTGGTGCCCACCTGTAGTCCCAGCTACTCAGGAGGCCTCAGGGTGGGACGATCACCTGAGCCCAGATTGCACCACTGCACTCCAGCTTGGGTGACAGTAAAACCTTGTCTCAAAAAAAAGGGGGGCGGGATTTGACTCCAGTGGTTCACATGAAGAGCTTTAAGGAAGGGAAAATTTCCAGAGTCGAGGGCAGCTGAGAGGGAGGTGTCCAATGGAAAGTTTCTCCCCTGGGGCCGAAGGGAGCCATCCTCAGAGCTCAGCTGGGTCAGGGGCTGTGCCACAAGGCAGGAACTCCTGCAGGGATGTGGACCTTTCTCCCCTCCAGCCTCCAGCTGGTGTGTCTGATTATGGGGGAGAAGGGACCGCAGGGCAGGGCAGGGCTGTGAACCACCAGCACAGGAGGCCTGTGTCGAGGTGTCAGCCAGCACTCTCTCTCACAGGGATGAGGCCAGGCAGCAGAGGAGCTGACACTCCCTCTCTAGAGGTAATTTCTTGTCTTGGTTCCAGAAGACGGAGTGACCACATCAGAATTGTGGATGCAGTGTGACTAGCAGGTCTGATCCTGGGAGTGGCCCCTTATTTATGGCTATAGCGGACTTGCCTGGTGGGTCGCTGGTCCTCCCTCCGTGCCCCAGAGAGTGCCAGTTGACAGTGTCCTCTCCCTGGTGGCAGACTGAGGTTCTCTATCTGATCTTGGTCCAGGCCCTGGATAGATGCCATTTGTTGTTCCCTGAAGGGACAGGAGCAGAAATGTTTCCCAGCAAGCTCTAGTCCATTCCTTTCTAGGGCAGACCAGCCATAGAGCAGCCCACCCCACCCCCACCCACCCCCATGGTCTCCTCTGTCCTGTTTGAGAATTTCAATTTGCTTCTCACACCTCTGATTCAATCTTCCACTACGTTTTCTATCTCTTTGTAAGTTTTCTGTATCCGATCCTTTTCCCCTTTTGTCTCACCTGGTTTCCTTTTGATCTCACTCTGTTACCTTTTCATTTTAGCTCCTGATTCACAGAGGCCATGTTGTCCTGCATTGAACATCAAATGTAGCAGTTTGCTGAAACTCTTCTCGATCCTGCTCTCTGTGTATCCTGAAGCCACGTGTGAGCATCCCATCTCGCCAGGTCACTTCTGTGATTTGCAATCTGTATTTCGTTGGAGAAAGATGTCGGGAGAATGGCAGAATATCAGATGGCAGGAAAAGAGCCTGCCCATCTCAGGGAGCACCACGTAGGTGGTCAGAGGAATGGCTGGCAGCCCACAAGTCCTGGAGCTCTGAGTGGAGACCCCGAGAATGGAGAGGTGAATGCTGTTTGCTCAGTCTTCATTGAGGCATTCGGTCCATGACCCAAAAGCCACGGCGGGGTCAGCTGTTCCTCTCCAGCTCTACCAGCCTCAGTTTCCTCATCCTGCTTGGCATTGTCTGTCGACCTCATTTGGAGTGTTGTGAGTTTGAGTCCACATCAATGACTCCCTGCATGTGTAGCC